AATTAAATGCCAAAACTCAACAAAAACCAATTGACCATTTAATTTTTTTAGTATGGCTACTTTTTGTCCTGCTGACATTTTTTCAAGTAAAATCTCGGCATTTTGTTCATCCTTGAACTTCTCGATGATTTTTGAACAAGAAAGGTGCTTGCTGTTGACAAGTTTCAAAAAACTGCTGTTCCAACCTTCTACAGCGTTTTTGGTGCGGGGAAGTTCATTTCGTTACTATTTGAAGGAAACGCCGATGCTCTATGTCAAATCTGGGCTTCTGCCGTCCCTTAGACTGCTCCCCATCGTAAATTGTCTGTGAGCCAGAGGTAATTCGAAGCCAGTCAGCGAAGTTCGCCTTGCCTCCTTTGGTCTTTTTTCGCGAGGAACTCTAGTTACAGCTTGCTGGTTAGCAGAGTAATTTGGTAAATGAACAACTGAAGCAAATGAAGTCAGCCGCAGGGTTAAATCCGAAGCTGCTGCACAAACTTAATGCGTTTTCCTGAACTTACGATTTTCGCTATCAGCGGATCGGGGAAGTGGCAGTGATCTTTAACGATCTCAACAAAGTCCTCTTTTGTACGCACACGTCCATTGCAACTATTAGCGCCACGAAAGAGAGTTGTCTGATAGTGTTCGATATTTAATATATGCATGATACCCTTTAAAAATAATTAACTCAGAATTTTTGTTTGTAAGTATAATTTCCATTGATAGTTAGAAATTAGTATTCCGACTGGATGGTGCCCAGTGTTTGCAAATAAAACAACTTGAGCAAGCTGTATGTTTTTTGACTGGATTAAGCAAAAAGTTCATTTATAAATGAGTTAACTTTTAGATTTTGCGGATTATTGCCTTTAATGAATGGACGCTGCTGTTATCTAGGTAGTTCTATATTCTCTCCTATACTACCTATTATCAAACGGATTAGTTAGAATTAAAAATGTTTTAATCCGAGCGAAAGTTTCCAACCAATTTCTTGAACAATTATCACTTCTATCACTGTGTTTCGGACTGATGTTTGGACTGATTTGTTGGGGACTGTTTTTTTTAGACTTTGATATGATTTTTTCGGCAATTTTGTATGGACATGTACTTTACAGATACGTACTCAAATTCGTTTCTCAAATTGTTCTTTTTTCAAATTTTTCACGACTAAACAGACCAGCCATGTGCGAAAAAAAAAACTTTCAAGTTTCACAGAAACAAAATTCAAAGAAACAAAAAACGGTGAGACGCTCTAAATGCAATAAAATTCGGAAAAAATCCTGAAAATATAAGCCTTGAAGAATCAAGTGTGCACGCCGAGAGATCAAAAACTCTCTTTCCAAGTTGGAGACATGGTCACTAGACCACTGAAGCATGATGCGATGCCTTTCAAATATTCGACAATCAGACAACTGCCTCATCATAGCTTCAACTTTTATCGAGTCCCTAGTATAATCGATTCAAGCGCTGCTTTCCATGCCATTATCTCATAGATTAATTATCTGAAGAATCGAATTCACCCCTTCCATACAAGAAATGAATTCATATGCTTGTAATATAACAGCTCGCTTCTTCCTCGAAAAAAGTAACTTAAGATCAAAATTAGAAATAAATCTCAAAATCGTTTACTTGATCAGAACATTTTGTGCTTTTAAATAAATATGGCGAATTAATTTCTGTTCGAATTCCTATACTCTACTTAATCCTATGCTAAGAACTTGATCTTAGCTAAACTTGGTTCGTTTATTCGCTCTTATGAAGTTGAGAGCTTAAATTCTTTCACCGACTTTGAGAATCCAACTTTAAAGGATCATTAGTCACATCTTCCGTTTGTGTTGCAGCATCTTTTGCTTTGGTTGGTTCTTTGAAATCAGTGCTTTTCAAAAGCAAGGGATCAATTCGGCTGAAATCTTGATCTTCCTGTTGTTTCTCGGCTAGCCGCACAGTTAGGTTTGACACCCTGCACCCCAGTGCCCGATTCAGAAAACATGAACAACAATCGCAGCACGCACAGTTGTTCACGTATTCTAAATCTTGACGCCTTATAAGGAAAGAAACACGCAGATACTCGGCCATCGTCAAAATTACAAGGGTCATTGCAGAGGGTATGGCTCTACTCAAAGTCCAGCAAAAATATCTGAAGATCTCAGTCAAATACTTGATTCTAATTTGTAATCTGAATTATTATAAAACTTCATAAGCTTGTTCAAATTTATGACTTATTTATATCGCGATTTATAGTTCATGACTTTTGCCTACTTTTTTTTGAAGTCCTAACTTTTCGGTAAAATTAACAAATCCACGAAGAAAGCAAGCCAGCATTAGTGCTCTTTTAATAATGCGCCAAAAACTGCTTTGATTTTTGGTATTTCATATGCAATTTGAACCTAAGAAATCAACCAATTTTTAGTGGAATCAAATTACCACCTCAACTTCGCCCTTTGAAACCCTTTTTCTGTAGTGGACTAAATTACATCATAAACCTATACTATAATCTACACACAAAAGAAAACATGATCCAACAAAACGAGGCGAAGACCATGGCTATTATAGCTACATATTATAATATGGTGTAAATGCAGTAAATCGAGGTATCAGTAAATTACCATATCAGTAAATCGATTTATCAAACAGTTAAGCGAATATAACTTAAACATTACGTAACCGGTTGCGTTATATAACTCCTAATTGAGTTTAAAATAAACATACCAAGGTATCCAATTGAAAGACTTTTCACAAATTGATTGCAATATTTAAATTCCTTAGCTGTATAAATTAATTTACAATGATGTTGCGTATAATTCCTGGTAAGCTTAGAAGTCAATTAATCAATTACTCTACTTTGAAAACTTTATTACTTTGATGGCTACCTTTTCGGTTTACTGCACAGCTTTTTCACAAATTTCAGTTTACTGATCAGGTACTTCTGTTTTCGGTTTACTGAACTAGTCTGCGCGTTTTCGGGTAGCTGCTATATCGGTTTACTACCTTCTACTGGCTAATAAGGTAGTAAGCCGATATTTACAAGTCAGCAAACAGTACACTTTATTGAAGCCGATTTAGCGGAGCAGTACAACAATGCCAAAGTACAACAGTGCCGAAAATGAAAACTTTGTTCAACAGTGCCGAAAATGAAAACTTTGTTCAACAGTGCCGAAAATTTGAAGTTTTAACAAATACAGTGCGGCAATCAATAATTAAACAGCGATCGTTTACAGTCTTAAGTAAAACTTTACGATTTTGAGCAAGAAAATTTACAATTTAGACGTTTTGGCGCCAAAATAATTGTTTAATTTGCAGTTGCAGACATATTGGCGCCAAAATTGGAGTGATTTTCTTTGATAATTAGCGTCAGCAATTTCCCGCTCTTCAGAAAATGCGTGTAAATTATTCTGAAACTTTCCCGCCTTTTTCGGCACTGTTGTACGTCGGCACTGTTGAACGCCCCCGATATAGCTCATGCTTTTCAAAGAATGTGGAATATATTTTTGTTCCGACCACTGCAGTGGGGAGGAACTTAATATTCGAGTGTTTTTCAGCTTCTTTAAAACGTTTTCATTTATCAAGCAAAATCAGGGACCACAAAAAATTGTCGGAGGAGGTGTTGTCGCTGCGCAGATCTTCGGAATAATAATTGTCGGGAAAAATCTCAGCTGAGTAGAGAACAACCGGTTTTAAATTTTTGACTTGCGGTCTATTTTCGAGCGAATAAAGCTAGCGAAAAGGCCTACAATCCGCTATAAGACGTTAACACATAGTCGTACTCCCGGAATATTAGTTTTTGAACCTTCTTTTAGTGCCTTCTTGAACACAAAAAAAACTTGAAAACGAAAAACAATCTTCAAAAAAAATGAAAAAAAAAAATACAAAAATGTTGCTGACTTTTTTTGTTTTTCAGTAACTTATTTAAAAAACCGCCGTCATATATGCGTATTCTACACGTACTATCGAATGGACTTATAAGCTTCTTCAATTATGATCGTTTACCGTATAAATCGCCCATTATTGCCCGACAAATTATATTCAATTCATTTCCGATGCTTTTATCAACACAAAGCGGATTTAAGACGGCGGACGCCCCGCTCCCTTCCTCAGATATTCGACGCCCTGCCTACCGAAAGGGTCTTCTTGACGGCGCAGGAATTTTGGTGAACAGAGATCATTACAGTGATTTGGGAGATCTCAGAAAATCAATTTGGCAGACCTAGAAAAAAGGTCAAAACTTTTTGAGAAAATGTTAACAGAAGTGTGAAAGGTGTTAACTTTTTTGAAAATCAGGCCCGGCCCGGTTGCTAGTCCCAAAAATGCGGTCCGAGCCCTGTTCCTGTATATATATATGTTTTGTCATCCGCGCCAATTCTTTAATGACTTCAGCTTAATGTTATATCTCACATGATAATTATCCCGTTTTCCGTCATAGACGGACAAGGTAACAGTTCGTGATTTGACGTCTTTTTCATTCTTCTCATCGCTTCCCTAGGAGACAAAACATCAGGATAGTAACAATTCTTGAGCTCCGAAATGCTGTTGGGTTCAAACTGTTTCAATTTTTCAGCTGTTACTGGTAACAAAAATTTACATTTCGTTTTTCCAGTAAATCATTATGTATCTAGGCTCAATATCAAACTCAATAGATTCGTTCATCTTATTGCGATATGTCTTCGACCACTGATGAATAAATCTCTTATTTCTTCCTCTTGATGTAGTCGGCGAAGCTATTTTATAAACCACTTACCTTAACCAGTGCACTCGCACACACCGTGTTTTCGAGTAATTACTCGAAACTCAGTTTGTTTGACAACGACACAAAATCAACAATTTCAGACTCAAAACTCAAGACAACTTTATATACTTCTCGCCCCAAAACAGTCTACAATATATATTTCCAGTTGACAAAAAATTTCTTTTTAAATTACATTAGTTTCGAACCGGCTGTTTTGGAATGGGAAGTAAAACTCAAAGCTTCAGTCGATAGAAAACAAAGTTTTGCCAGTTAATTGCACAATTATCAAGTCGATAGAAAACAAAGTTTTGCCAGTTAATTACACAATTATCAGTCTGTTCAATATCAGTTTTCAAAACTAAAAGTCCGATTATGTCGGAAACGAACCAAAGTTTACCCGGACTTCAGTTTCTCGAACTCCTCTTTAGTAACTGTTTTCATTTGGAAAGCGTGTATAATCTTCAATTCTTCAGCCAACGCCTGATTGACAAGGCGATGTCTCTGGAGTAGCTTGAGTCCCTGGAACTTCTCGGAGACAACCAGAGCCATAAAACTGGCTCCACACCCTCCTGAAGTGTCTGTCAGCTCAACATGTGATGCTCCTAGTTCATTATCTGAGAGAAGTTTCTTCTCCAAAGACGCGACTGTGATTTCTTCGCCCATGTCGCTAGCACCACTGAAAAAAATCACTGGCACTAAATTTTGCAATTAACCCAGCAAATGAGCTCAGCCTGGAAGTCTAATTGCCAACCTGTCAAAACTTAAAAAAATCGCCCAGTGTTCCGTCAGCCCTAATCTTTGGTTGTAAAGATGGCTACACCAAATAGCTCTCAATACTCTAAATCTTCCTCTACATTGATACGATCGTTAGTTCATTTCAACTATATAAAATATCAAGCATGGAAAAAATAGCATAAAGCGATTAACAGTCGAACGTAATAAAATTAAACTAACCTGAAAAGTCGTTTAAATTGGCTGCGCAAACTTTTTTTTCCCTCCCAGATTCCAACCCGTTTTCTTTCGGCTTCGCGTTCGAAACTCTGCAGTCGCTTCAAACTATCCAAGGCAGAAGAGGTATAAATTGTATTAGTAAATTGAACTGAAGGGCAGAAAGCTGTACGGGCTAATCCACGTTTAACAAGCTCGGTGCTCAGATCTCGGCGAAATGGATACCAAAACTTGGGCCGATATAGGACGTTTGCCTTCAACATGGAGTCATTTATGATACCCTGAGGTGTGAATAAAACTTTCTGATTGGATTGGATCACACTGTCAATGAAGGTGTTGCTTTTCTTCGATGCAATATCAACACCAAATAATTCAACTTCAAAGTATCTGAAAAAGCGGGTTTTAGATATACGACCTATCGTGGTTTTTAATTTAATGGCGTTGAAATTAATGAAAAATTATTGACTTCGACATATCGGTTCTCTTCCTCCAAGACATAGCAAGAGGCAGATGAACAACTGAGAACCGGTTTTGCCTCCTTTTAAGGAATGTGCGATGATACAAAATAGGATACAGCATTCTGATAACGCAATTCATATTCAGGAAAGGCGAACCACGAGTTCTCGAAAGCTGAAGTTCGGTAATGACATCGACTGTTACGATTCCTCGCAAAAAAAACGAATTCAAGAAAACTTAGTTATAAAAATTGTTATGTGAAAATTACCTCAAGTAAAACCCTCAAAAATCAGTAAGCAAAAACACCTTGACGAGAAATGATCTGAGAAAAAATTAAGACTCCAATAAAAAAAACTGATTTTTACAGGATCAGCGGATCTGGTGCAAAAAAAAACACGAAACATTCCCATCATTGCGATAAATAAAGCATCGCCAAGAGACAATTGTAACAGTTCCAATGATTTCAAAGCGACAAAAAAGACTGATTTTTTTAAGCATTTTAACAGAAAAATATGGTTTTAAGCTCTTTGCATTTCGAGAATTCAAATGATTGTAAACTTTTGACCCAGAGGCTAAGCCTAGCTCCGCACTACTTGAGGTAAGACACAAGCGTAGCCTTGCAAGCTGTTATACAAAAATAAAAACCAAAGCCACTAAGTCGAAAAAAATTAAACATTTCGAAAACCATAATTACAAAAAAAAACTCAATATTTTTGTCACAAATTCTGTACAATTTGAAAAAAAAAAATAATAGCACAACAATGTGAAAACACCGTAGGAAATAAGTACTAAGGTGAAAAATTAAGCGAGCGACAAATAATCATAATCCGACAAAATTAACAAAACTGGGATAGTAAACTCCTGTCAAGCCGATAACAAAATTATTGCCATGAAATATTTATGTCATGAAATTGCTGCCATGAGCTATTAAGTTCTTATATTTTAAGATTTTTACCCGCTTGTTTCCGGAAAGGGGCGTAAACACTGTGTTTCGCTTCAAACGATGCAAAATTAGGTCCTAAATCTATAAATCATGGGCCGAAACAATATAAATATTTACCAAGCCAGATTTAATAAAGTGACAAATTCCAGCAGTAAAACAAAAACACTCGCATCTACAATGAAACTTGGTAACAGCACAAACTTCGTGATGTGATCCTAAGCTGACAAAATCAGACAAACGAGGCATGCAAACTATGGTTTTCTCGAATGACCCAAAATTAGGTTAGTAAGCCGATTAAGTATACGCACAAAAAAAAGTTTTTAAGCGAAAACAAAATATACGAAGTCAAGGGAAGTAGAATTAATTACAAATAACAGGAGTAAAAGAAAACATAAACGTAAAAGCAACTACAATGAAAGCTGCATGCAGCAAAAAAAATTAAAGATGTGGCAACTAAGCCGACAAGACATAAGCAAACAAATCATAAGCCGACAATTTTGAAACGGAATATTTCCAGTTTGAAAAAAAAAACAGGTCCTGCTCATGTTTGAACCCAGGACCTTTGCTGTCCCAGGCGTATTCGTTACCTCCATACTCATGTGCCGGAGACGCTTAGAAATTTTATATCAAGTGATTCTGTTAAACAAGTTGTCAACCAGAAAAGCGGAAGAATTGTGTATGATTGAATTTTCTTTAATTCATGTGTTGTGTTGAGAAAACTCAGAGGTAATTTTGATATTATACTGTGAATTCGGAAAAATTTGAATTCATTTTTGAATTCAACAGACACACATGACCTTTACAGTTTTTCTGTTCGTTAGTGGAGTTTGCCGTTTTTGACCAAAAAATGAACTTAATTTAAAAAGAAATCATGTCAAACATAGAAAAATCAAATTTGATCAAATTTGTCTGACAAACACAGACTCACACTAATTTTTTGATGTATAAACTTCAATTTTAAATCCATGTCACACCTTTGTTTGAGTTTCGAGTTAAGAAATTACGTGAATTGGTATAAATAATTTTCATTCCATTCCAGAAGAAAAAAACCTTGGTTCAAATCAACTGATTCAAAAATGAGAACATAGCCAGCAGCAGCTTGGAAAAGTTTCTTGTATAAAAACCAAGAAAACTAAAAACAAATTAAACAAACTATCGAATTCTGAGTAAACAAATACATCGCGTTAAAGCTCGTTCAATTTCAAGAATATTTAATGATTGACACTTTTCTCATGAAAATAGCCCAATCAGAGAAAATAGGGTCAATGGTTAGTTTTTTGATTCCGCTAGAAAATCTTAATTTTAACATCCGCTTTCCAAACTTTTTAGCGTCATTTGCACTATCTCAATTTAAGAGCCTAGCTTGCTTTTCTGGAAGCATATTAATTTGGATTTAACTTAAAAATAAACCAGAAGTCAAACTATGAAAAATCAGTTCAATGACATTTAAAAAATGGAATAAAGTATAAAAACTTTTAGTGTGTTAATTATGGCAGCAAAATTTTCGACGCATCAATAGAAAAAAAACGTCTATAAAAACTAAAATGTCAACATTGTGCACCGCATAATCGCACACCCCTTTTGACAACAATTGCTCTGAATTTCACCTCCTTCTCGAACTGCTTCATACATGACCATATTTCATCTGTTGACGACAACTGCTTCGCCAGATGCCTGTATCTGTAGCCGAGCACACATGTAAAAAGAATCGAGCCAACTATTGGAGGATATTTGACCAAATGCACGTTATTATCAATAAAAAGTGTCAGCTCGTTCAGAACTGTCATGCTCTCTGAAAAAAGCAACCCAAAATCAGTCAATTCTTGTCGCTTTGAGTCTCCGCTTAATATACCACTGATTTTTTTCAAATAGATTAGAAGCGAGAAAACATTGCCAAAAGTTCTTGAGCTATCTAGAAAGTTTTGAAATTTTTCTAATGGTTAAAAAATTTGAGATTTACCATCTGAAATATACGATCCAAAAATCTGAAATCTTTAACCTGTCCTAATGCTTGGGGGAACATTTACTACCTTAAAATATAGGATCTTTGGTCTAAAATATCTTTAAAATGCTTTATCGGCAAAATCGGGCGCCGAGAATTTTTTGAAACTTTTACAATCTTGAACTCTGAAACATATAATCTATCCTAATACCTGGGGTGCGTGTTCATAGGTTCCAAAATAAAAAAAATCAGTACCATAGGTTCCAAAATAAAAAAGCAGTCGCATAAGTTCCAAATGTTTTCAATTGGTCAGATACTAAATTAGCCGAGTCTGGGATTTTTGGAACTTATGCGGCTGATTTTTTATTTTGGAACCTGTGAATATTGGAACCTATGGGAATTCACCATACCTGGAAATTCCTATTTACTATCTTTTTACATCGATTATATAAATATCAATTATGATACCAAATGATTACCATGTATAACGTTCACCGTATATTCTATTCTCAGAGCGACATTTTATGAACAATAATTCCAGTGTGAAATTTTAACTTAAATAATCCCAATAAAAATCTAATTATAGCTATATTCATTAATTATCCCTATGTAAACCTAATGATCACTGTGTATATCTTATGATCACTATATATACAAATTGACCCCAATATGAAATAATATAACAACAAATCCCAATTTGAAGTTTCGTACTGAATGATCCCAATGCGAATTTTTTCATCAAATGATACCCAAGTAAAATTTTATATCAATAATCCCGATGTGAAATCTTAAAAGTATAGATCTCCATATATCTCTAGTGATCCATTTATTTACCTTGTGAACTTATTATACATAAAAATTCAACGTGCAATATTTTTTACCAAATGATCCCAATTTGACTTTTGTCGCAAAAGATAACATTTTGAATTTTTATTCCAAAATATCAAAATGTGAAATTTCAATCGTAATGAACCTAAATGCTGTTTTGTGTAGTCTGATAAAAAACCGAGTGAATTATTGTTTTGTCGCTAGCAAAACTGATGTATTTAAGTGAAGCATAGAATTTATTTCTCGCAGCTCGAATTTGCATGCACTAAGATTCAATACATGAGAATTTCGAATTTAACGGTAAACTATGTTTGGAAGCTTCATGAATGAGGGAAACTGTATAAACTATTTAAGCACTTGTATATCACAAAAATGGTTTAATTTTAACTCGAATGTAATCATATTATTTCTTAAACAAAAAATCTGCAGAATCACAAAGACATGAACCAAAAACCTCAACCATAATCACAAACACAAGAAAAAATAATCTCTGGATAAAGCAAAAATAAACACAAACTAACCTTTTTTGTCAAAATTGCTAAACCAGTGATCTCTTATTTTGACCGCACCAATCACATTCTAAAAAAATTCATTGGACGAAAGCATTTGTTGTAAGAGTTGAAGCTCAGATAAAGTTTTAACAAGTAAAATTAAGAGCACAGAGCAAAATGTGAGCGCGCGTTTAAAAATGAAGAATTTTGTTGATATACAATCCAAACCTCCAACTACGAAAAGAATGAAAATAAAATGGCTATCCATTTTTAGTTATGCGGGAACTCTTCCAAAGAGCGTGATAATTTATCATTGTACCAACTTACTGCGTTGATAATTGTTTTTATTTCCTATGTTTCAATAATATTTCTCTATCCACTGTTCGTTGCTTTCGCTTTCATGGCTTATTGTTTGTAGACATCTCAGATAAAACTGTTTTTAAAAACTCCAGACAATGGTCCCAAAATTTTTAGATAAATGTTTTGAAATATTTTTTTTTAATGGAATGCATCCAAATATTAGTCAAAATTACTGCCAGGGTTGCATTCATGGCTAACCCATCCTTCTGACCTTGCGATGTTGTATTGCTTTTGAAATAAACATTTGTCACGGCTAACTTAAGCTGCTTTTTAAGTGTTGAATGCTCAATATCTGGTGCGTAATCAGTTTTATAATATTCACGTAAGACAATCTCAATTGCTTCCGATACGGGAACGTTTGTGTACATTTTCTTGATGTCTTGTGAAACAATTTGTTCAGTTTTTAGTTCTTGTTTTTTTAATTTGAGTAGTGTATTTTTGATATCTTTTTTTACTCACAAGATCAAACTATCTGTGCAATATTGTTTCTGCAGTGCGCAAAGCGATCGCAACTTCACCCAGATTATTCGAATGAAATATTTGTGAGAATGGAATAGAGGGGAAAAACTCTGTGATATAGAAGCCTCGGCAAAGTGGTACGCAAGGAACATCAGAGAAAAACCAATTGAACGTGCACTTTCAAGAATGGTGAAAACTTTGAAAGAAAATGATCTTTTTGCTGTACCTTAGGACTTTGGCAATGGATTTTGTGTCGTGAAAAGGAAAACTAATGACAAAAAAACTAGAAATTTGAAATTGCCAGCAGTTTACAGAAAGCAAAAATTGCACAGATAGTTTGATCTTGTGAGTAAAAAAAGATATCAAAAATACACTACTCAAATTAAAAAAACAAGAACTAATAAGTGATTAAATTTATTCAAAACTCAGAACTAATGTAGCTCAGCGCGATAAGTTATACGGTTTGACTAAAGTAGATAAGAGTGATACACCACTCCGTCCGGTTCTAACAATTCCTCGCAGTAGTTATCGTAGGCTCTATAAATTTTTGACCCCCTTTTTCAAAAGGTTCCTAGCGCAAATTTTAAAAATAATAGACGCTCATAAAAGCTCGAAAAACTAATACTGGACAAAACTGAACAAATTGTTTCACAAGACATCAAGAAAATGTACACAAACGTTCCCGTATCGGAAGCAATTGAGATTGTCTTACGTGAATATTATAAAACTGATTACGCACCAGATATTGAGCATTCAACACTTAAAAAGCAGCTTAAGTTAGCCGTGACAAATGTTTATTTCAAAAGCAATACAACATCGCAAGGTCAGAAGGATGGGTTAGCCATGAATGCAACCCTGGCAGTAATTTTGACTAATATTTGGATGCATTCCTTTGATGGAGGTAATTAAAGATTGTAACATTCGTCTACTGTAGTCACACATGAGGCTTAAGAAAAATAGGCCCTATAACCATTGGCTCAAGAGTCAGGGACACTATCTCTTGTGTTTTTCTACCTCAAATCAGTCGGAGCCAATTCGGTTCGCTTGTGACATGAGACTACAACCCGTTACAGCTTGAAGGCTACTACCAAAATATCCCCCCACTCTAGAAATAAGAACGTCCCCATACTTAGGTCTCTAGATACCCAAAAAACATGAACGCCGTTAAAAACCGGGTCGGAACAATCCGTTAAGTTACTTTTTATTAGAAAGTGGAACTTTGATCCATTTCAGATGGATCAACCTAAAACTCGCCTAACCTCAACATAAAAATCATAAAACACACTCTAGAAATCTAAATTGGGTACTCACATCGTAGCACGCTCAAGAAGTGGGAAATAATCCAGTCGGTAATTAACTCAAGAATTAAATAACGCAATTAAATGAGTCTACTGCTAGAAATTTGAAATTGCCAGCAGTTTACAGAAAGCAAAAATTGCACAGATAGTTTGATCTTGTGAGTAAAAAAAGATATCAAAAATACACTACTCAAATTAAAAAAACAAGAACTAATAAGTGATTAAATTTATTCAAAACTCAGAACTAATGTAGCTCAGCGCGATAAGTTATACGGTTTGACTAAAGTAGATAAGAGTGATACACCACTCCGTCCGGTTCTAACAATTCCTCGCAGTAGTTATCGTAGGCTCTATAAATTCTAACACCCATAATTAGAACGCGAGTAGTTCGTTAGATACTATTTTAAACTTACTAAGTTTAAGATTTATCCTGGGTCTGGTAAGAGGGGGGATCAAGTGAAGGATGAATAACCGAATTTAATTGCGTTATCTTCGGCCACTTCGGGCACTTTATTCAGTTTACTGGTTTAAATTGCTAGGTTGATCGAAACGATCGAACTTGTAAAACAGTATGGGTATACTATTTAATTAATATAAAGGTTTGATCCAACTAATCTGGTGTCAAAGTCACTGTCTTTTTTCGTTTTATGGTTTTTGTTCCTTTTTCTATTCCTTTTTTGGTTTTTGTTTTTTTTTTGTCTTTTTGCTCGTGTTTTTGTCTCCCTAGTTGCCCCCCTTTACTCGGTTAGCTAAGCCTCGTTCGGAGAGCGTACCAGGAAATTTTCTCGAGTTTTCTTAAAAAGCTATCACGGTACAACCGGAAGGTTTGCACGTTCCTGTCGAACCGTACCGCCGGTACTCTAGAATGGGCATTCAGCCCGAAGCTGTCTCAAGTGGGTTCAACTCCGTAGTCTTGATGTCGTAAACACCCAGGAGCGCCATAAAAACACTATGTAACATTCGTCTACTGCAGTCACACATGAGGCTTAAGAAAAATAGGCCCTATAACCACTGGCTCAAGGGTCAGGGACACCATCTCTTGTGTTTTTCTACCTCAAGAACGGTCGGAGCCAGTTCGGTTCGCTTGTGACATGAGACTACGACCCGTTACAGCTTAAAGGCTACTACTAAAATATCCCCCCACTCTAGAATTAGAAACGTCCCCATACTTAGGTCTCTAGATACCCAAAATACATGAACGCCGTTAAAAACCGGGTTGGAACAATCCGTTAAGTTACTTTTTATTAGACAGTGTAACTTTGATCCATTTCAGATGGATCAACCTAAAACTCGCCTTACCTCAACATAACAATCATAAAACACACTCTAGGAATTTAAATTTGTACTCACATAGTAGCACGCTCAAGAAGTGGGAAATAATCCAGTCGGTAATTAACTCAAGAATTAAATAACGCAATTAAATGAGTCTAATGTTTTATAGTTTTGACAATGAGAACGAGTTTATACTCTAGACAATAGTTTTCTTGTGAACCATTAGGACACTCAAGCTGTCCACCTTTCCACCGAAGGTTCACTCTAGTCCAGTTCCGAATAACACTCCAGTCGCTATAATCCAATTCGTGGGAATGCTCTCGTCTCTGTCACAGATGGGACAGCTCTACTCTCGATTATGATAGTGATGGAAATTGCGAATAGCAATTTCCTACTGCTTTTTCTTACAACTTTCCCGCGTGTGTGTCTCAATTGTTCTGAAATTGTTCTGCTCTCTTTTTCTGATTTTCAGTTCTCGCGAGAAAATCGTGCATGACAGGTTCCATTCGAAATTTTGAAAAATTAAATTTCACTCCAAAATCAAGTGTTTTTTTGCTTCTCTCAAGGTCAAACTTCCAAATATGACCGACTGGCACATACTCCCCGGACTCGAGATCGATGTCCTCATCGCGCGCTGTCTTCTGCCAGTGAGTCCCAGAAAAACCGAGTGTTGCTCAAGATACAGTGCCAGTGGTCATTTACAGAAGTTTGCAGCAGATTTAAGCTTATCTACACCCCAAAATTCACAGCCATTTAAAATTTCCACACTATTGCTAAACAGCAACCAAAATCTGCATACACCTGCACCCTTGAATTTTCGCTTTTCAAGCCAATCATTTTAAAATCTCTTTTGTCCTATTCAATCAGGAAATTGTCATGCAGCATTTCGATTTATATAATAAATATAGTATATTAGTAACAATATTTGCTTTGTTAAAATTTCTTTTTCGTGAATCCAAGTTTCACTCGGATCCACGCTCAAGCCCCCCTTCCCTCTCAAGACTCAAGATCCATCCGATTTGCCCATTCATCTCGTACTCTTCGCCTTGGAGGTACTGCATCCTGAAGTGCTAGATGCGGCAAACTGTCTCAACAGTTCCTCTTCATCATCGGAACTAATCACAATCTCCTCCCAAGCCTTCAGCTGTTCATAGGATCGCATCCATTCTCTCTGCTCCTGCAATCTCTTTGCTTGGTTGGGTAGTACCTTCACCCTAGCTTCTCGGTTCAAGCAAAAGGAGTTGTGCAGGCTCAAGCTCACGTTCTTCGCCAGGTCTTCCTCTAGTATCGACTCCCTCGCTTTGGTATTGTCTCTAGACATCTTACCCACTCTTTTCCATCCCGTCGTGATCGCATTACGATGGGTTAGCAGGGGTCTCTTGAAAGCTTCCGGCCCAATCTCGGCCTGGAACTGTCGATACTCTTTTTGATGTTTTCTCATGTGATCTTTCGTTGTCATGTACAACCAAGACGTCAGTGTCGCCCGAAACCATGGAAAGTACCTCAAGCGACTCCATACGTGCCTGACTTCCGTCGGTATGGCGAGTACTTTGCACGCAGTCTCAAACAACTCGAGTCTCCTGCTGTAGTCTATCGCGTATATTGACTCAGCCGTTGACGTCGTCGCCTCCCGATACTTCGTTATATTCTCTTCTATCCATCTCAGAGCTAACATCGTACTCACTACTAAGAGCGTCACCTTCTGCCGGTGATCCGGTAGTCCGATCGACCG